CTTGAGTTTTGGTTTCTGAATTGTGAAACTGCATGCTAGAGCATTATTTTTACATGGTGGGGTTACTATGTTGTTTTAAAGTGAAACTTTATTTCTGTCCACTCACATCTTTCTGTTTTGCGCCCCCCAGACAGTAGTTGCTCCTGAAGGCATTCGAGCAAGTCACGAGCTCCGAACTTGTCGTCTGTTAATAGGGTCTGTATAAATTCTTTCTACTCCCCTGTTTGTTGTAAACAAATTCTGTAGACGCTCTGTTATTGCCCATGTTAGGCTACTACTTGAGGCCGGAGGCCATTTGTGTTGGATTGTAGTTTGTAAAAGCATGCTGGCAGTTGGGTTGTGTATTGATGTAAATTATTGCAGGTTGTTTGTTGTTGGTTTGAGCATTTTACAGGGGAGACTCTGCCAAAATTTTGGTAGATTGTCTTGGGTTTTAGTAAGTGGGCCCGGCATCGGTATGATGTCGGCAACAATACGGGGTCCGCCCCGGTTTCGGGGGAAATTCCGGGGCGGGTCCTGTCAATGTAATTGCAATCTATTAAAATCATGAGTAAAATCATATAATTACAAATCCGGCTGAAATCCATTACATTAAAATCATGTAATTACAATCTATTAAAATTTCAATTGAATACACTCCCCTTCAATTCAAAAATCAATTCCTTTCTGCAAAAGGAATTACGCGCACTGCCCCCACCAAAATGATATTTCTCTCAGAAAATCACATAGAATTTATACATCAAGTAATGCATCAAGCTTTTCTTCCTGTAGAAGATAGGCTACGATTCTCTTCATATTTTAGATTGTTGGCGGAATAATAAAAATATGAATTTTAATAATAATTCTTAACAAATAATTATCAAAATATAATAACACATTTACATAAAATTAATGTAATAAACAAACACAAATTCATAAGAAACCTGACAACTGTAACGATTGAGATTTGCAAGAATTGCAATGTCTTAAAGACAGATTTTGCTTATGTCCTTGTTCTCACAGTTTGATAAGCGTTTATCTCCTAAGATATAACAATTGATAATCTAAAGTTGAAGCACTGCAACTTTAGACTCTAAAGAACCTAATTATACTCTTAAGATAAAATTACGAAAATTTTTGAAGAATGATACCGTAACTTAGCACGATTGGGGAAAACTTCTCTTATAAAAGGAAAAGGACCATATTGGTTTCTACAGAACCTAAACATCACGCTTGAAAGAACCCCAATGTTTTTTTAGCATCACAAATTGTTCAACCAATGTGGCGGTTTACAACAGATGCAATTTTTTACTATAATCCCATCTGATGCATTGAAACGGTGACTTCTTTTTGAATTGCAAAACTTTTTTATATATATTTTTTTTCATTCAACAATTAAATTAAATATTATAATATTAAATTTCCAAAAGTCTTCCTCCTATTAACGTCCAAAAGAAAAGTGCCCTTCTTTGCTCCTTCAATAGCTTGACAACTCAGTAGGAAAATCTGGTGCTGATGCATGGCAGGGGCACGTGCCCCCGTCTCCTCCATACTTGTGTTCCCAAGGTGGCCTTCCCCCCTGCATATGACCAGACTCCCAACTTACATTACAGAGGGAGAAAGATGGCGAGGGAAAAGTGCTTCTTAAACCTTTCTTCTGATGAGTCTTCTGAATCCTCCGACGCATTGTTGCCAGAAAAAGATGACCATCTAGACTTGCTAGATTCAAGTAGCGCAATCCAAACAAAGCCTGGATGGAAGGCCATGCCATACATCCTAGGTATATAATTATATATATATATATGTGTGTGTATATGTTTGTGCTTGTTATTCAAGAAAATTGAAAAGTTTTATGAATCGGGATTTTTTCTTTTTCTTTTCTTTTTCCTTGTAGCTAATGAATCAATTGAGAAGATGGCAACATATGGGCTGACAACAAATTTTATGGTGTATTTGGTGAGGGAGTATCACATGGATCAGGTTTCTGCTGCCAACATTCTCAACATTTGGACCTGCGGCTACTCTTTATTGACAATCGTTGGTGCCTCAGTTGCTGATATCTATCTTGGCAAATTTCTCACCATTGCTCTGGCTTCCCTTGCAACTCTCGTGGTACACAATTAATTATTAGCATTTTATCTAAAATTAATCATGATTAGCTAGCTTAATTGGGTCCTTAGCATAATCTAATTATTATTAATGCCTTAATTATGATATATATTGTATTAGGGGATGGTAACAATAACTCTGACAGCCTTTGTGCCACAATTAAGACCTCCACCTTGCTTCATTGATGGGCAACAACATCTTAAGCACTGTATTTCCAACACAAAAACCCAACTGGGTTTCTTGCTTGTTGGGCTATCTTGGCTAGCCATAGGCACAGGTGGAATTAGGCCCTGCAGCATTCCCTTTGGCATTGACCAGTTTGACTCAACCACTGTCGAAGGCAGAAAATCAATCCATAGCTATTTTAATTGGTACTACACTTCATCCACTGTGGTCATGTTGATCAACCAAACGCTGGTGATCTACATCCAAGACTCAGTTAGTTGGGCCTGGGGATTTAGCATCCCCACCCTCCTCATGTCTTGTGCAATTGCCCTGTTTTTGGCTGGCTCCCAAATTTACCACCATCTGAAGCCAGAAGGAAGCACGTATGTCAGCTTTGCACAAGTTCTTGTTGCTGCCTACAAGAAGCGCCATCTTAAGCTTCATGACAACGAAAGGGTACTCGGAGTTTTCTCTGATGTTTCATTGGATGGAAATGTGGTGCTCTCCAAGCTCCCTCTCGCTGCACAATTAAGGTAAAACTTGATGGGGTTCATTTTGCCTTACATTGCTTTAATCACTTTTGCTTGCTTGTTCTTTTTCTAATTCTCATTTGACACTATACTTTGGTGGCTCAGCTCCTTGAAAAAAGCAGCTTTAGTGGTGGACGATGACCTAAAAGATGATGGGTCTTGTGCAAATCCGTGGAGGCTGTGCAGCATCCAACAGGTTGAAGAGGTGATATGCTTCATGAAAATCCTTCCAATATGGGCTTCTGGTGGCATCTGCTTCATGACCTATGCGCAAGAAGGAACATTTGTAGTGTCACAAGCCCTCAAAATGGACAGGCACATTGGACCCAATTTCCAAATGCCTGCTGGGTCAATCAAAATGATGTCATTGATCTCATTATGCATATGTCTCCCATTCTACGACCGTGTCCTCCAACCGGCCCTAAAAAAGATCACCAAACACGAAAACGGCATCACAACTCTCCAAAGAATAGGACTTGGGTATTTGTTCTCGATTCTGTTCGCAGCGGTGGCTGGACTGGTTGAGCAACAGAGAAGAGCTTCTGCTCTGTCACACGCTTCAGCCGATGGCGTTGCTCCCATGTCATTGTTTTGGCTATTTCCACAGCTAATGCTCCTTGGCCTGTTTGAGTTGTTTGGCGTTGTTGGGCACATTGAATTGTACAACAAGGAGTTTCCTGAGAAGATGAGGAGCATTGCGAATTCTCTGATCTATCTTTGCGTAGCTGGGGGTACTTATTTGAGCACCTTGGTGGTGAGCATTGTGTACAGAGTTACAGGGAAGCATGGGCAGCCCAATTGGTTGGGCAATGATATCAATGCCGGCAGACTGGACTATTTCTACTTCCTAATAGCTGCTCTCGGGGTGCTGAATTTTGTGTATTTTTGGTCCTGTGCTCGTGGATATACTTACAATTACAAGGCCAACGTAAACGCAGTAGAGACTATACAGACTGACATTTTGGTTTAGACTTTTGTCCTGTGAAGTTGACTTCCTTTTTCACAAAAGCTCTGTATTTGAACTTCATCAATAACCCTTACATATATAAGTTGTTTGAGTTGCAATTCTAAGCCCAACTTATCATTCCATTTCGCAGGATAGCAAAATCATTCCATTTCGCAGGAAGGCGGTAACGGTAACGACCTTAGTAGTCATTCGATCAATTACAGATCTATTATTGGACGGCTGGATTGAACATAGTCATTCGATCTATGGTCATTTGATCAATTACAGATCTATGTTCAATCTATGGTCATTCGATCAATTACAGATCTATTATTGGACGGCTGGATTGAACATCTTAACACACCCGCTCACTATAATGTTTGATTATAGACTGTCCCTTAATTTCATACCATGATTAAAATTGGGCCTGATATTTTTTGCTGGTGGTGAATAAAGACTACAACTTGGGCCTAATCTTTCTTTCAAAAAATATACTTGGAAAGTAAAATTGGGCCTGGTCCGTTTTCCTTACGAGATAAGTAGGCGGAATTAATGGAAGGGTGAGGACAATTTTAATGTGGCTTGCCTTCTGGCAGCACCCATGACGCCCACGCCTACATTCATTTCGTCAGCCATTTTATCAATGTATTTCTCCTCTTCCGTGTATATATATGATATAGCTATAGCTGTGCTCCATCCACCCAAGCTTCTTACTTACAAGCTCAATCTCACACACAACTTCTCATCCATAAAAAAAAAAAAAGATTGCAAAGCTTCTGCACGTGAAGGTTTCAAAGCTGCTTAATTATATATAGATCATATCAGATCAAGGCACTATACCATGGCCGATGGTACCAAGGAAAAACAGCAGCAGCCAAAATCCTCATTCTGCCTCCACGTCACAGAATGCTTCCAAGACGGCAGTCCAAAGCTGTCACGCAAATCATCAAGCCCAGATAACTTGGAGGATGAAAAACATGGACAAAGAAAACCTGGTGGCTGGAAAGCCATGCCTTACATCTTAGGTCTGTCTCTCTCTCTCTCTCTCTCTCTCTCTCATTTCAGACAAATTACTCTAATAACCTTTTTTCTTTAATTGACATTTGTGCTTCATGCATGATATGGTTGTAAAAGCTATTTAACTTTTATAAGAAGGTGACAAAAAATGAACACGTTTTTTGAACTGGTGGTGCAGGAAATGATACTTTTGAAAGGTTGGCTTCATTTGGGCTGTTGGCAAACTTTATGGTCTACTTGACGAGGATGTTGCACTTGGACCAGGTTTCTGCTTCCAACATTATCAACGTTTGGTCTGGTTTCACCAATTTTGCACCTCTCCTCGGTGCCTTCATCTCCGATGCCTATGCTGGCCGCTTTCGCACTATTGCTTTTGCTTCCTTCTCATCTCTTCTGGTACACCATACTCTCTCTCTCTCAATTTTTTTTCTTTTCCTTTTTTTTTCTGTTTTTTTTTGGTTTTTGTTTCAGTAATTTCCATACTCTCTCTCTCTCTCTCTCTCTCTCTCTCTCTCTCTCTCTGTATGGCCCTCATACATTAATATATAGTGTAGAAAGTCATATAGTGTGTATTATTTTCCGTCACGTGTTTCAGTCTTATGGGGTTATGTGGGTGGGGTATGTGGTTTATATAACTGTAGATTTGAGTTGCCGGTAGCTCCCACATAACTGAGATATCAGATATGGTGAAAAATAAATCTCTCTCTCTCTCTCTCTCTCTCTGTATGGCCCTCATACGTTAATATATAGTGTGTATTACGGTGTGTCATGCGTTTCAGTCTTATGGGGTTATTAATTTCGGTGGGTGCGAAGGGGCCGGCGTTCATCTTGAGCTTGTAGTTGACTCTCTTTTTGAAAGCAAAAATCCCAGCAAATCTTTCGAAGGCTAATGATTCATGATATTTTCAAAGGGTGAAGGATTCTTTAGCAAAACCTAATCTAGCTCTGCGCTAAATATCAAAGGTTAATAGCAGATAACTACGATTAGTTAGCTTAGTAATACTATAAATCTAAAGGGTAAACTGTGAAATACCCCCTGAACTATCACACTTGTTGAAATCTCTACTATAAATTATTTTTTCAGCTAATTTAGCCTACATACTATTTTAAATGGTCAATTTAGCACTTGACGTCAAGTTTTTAGACTTCCATCCAATTTTCTGTTAACTATAAAGGTAAATTTGTCATTTTACAAGGACAATACCAAAAAATAATAAAGAAAATGTAGAATCATAATTTATTTTCTCTCTTTCTTTGTTCTTTTTCCCTTTTCTTTCTTCTCTCCCTGTCAATCTCTCCAGATCTCTCTCTCTCTCATTTTTCCTTCTTATTCTTCTCTCCCTCTCATTTTCTTTCAAGAATCCGATTCAAAGTAGGCGTTGTCTTCTTCCCCAAGTGCACAACGCCTTCTCTGCAACCCATATTCTGATATCCTAGCGCACCCGCCCCAGATTAAACAGCATCAGCCAGTTCAATTTGAAGAATTTCGTCCCAGCCAAACCATTGTCCACTGCACCTCCAACCAAACCCAGAATGCGTTGGTTCCTTATTTCCGTGATGACCCACATTAGACAACTTGAGGTCGTGACTGCTATTCCTCATCAACCGCAGAGCGTAATCCATCTTTTTCGATTGCAGACAAAGAGTCTTGGGAGGAAGGGGCTAGGGAAGACGTTGTTTGCCACTCCTTTTTTTTTTTTTTTTTTTTTTTCAGTTTTGTAGTTTTAACCATTTAATTATTTTAAACTTAAAAAAATTAATTTTTAATTAAACAGTGAGTGACATCCCTAACAAGTGACATTTAGACATAAAATTAGATGAAATTGTAGGAAAACTAACAGCATAGGCTAAATTGACCGTTTAAAATAATCTAATGGCTAAATTAGCTGAAAAAATAATTCATGGTGGAGATTTTGACAGTCGATATAATTCAAAGGGGTATTCGGCAGTGTACCCAAACATAAATAATCAAAGCTACCTGTCAATAGATATATGGGTCTGGTTGGAAAGTTAAGCTGGTGGAAGTAGTTTTCAAAAAGACCAAGTGTGTATGCCTAAGGCTAATTAGCTAAACGAATAACGCACATGGATGCCTCTAGAGAACCAGAGAAATATATATTATGTATTATTTTCTCTAGAAAATATTTTTGAGAAAAGTTAATATAAGTATATGCCTTCTCAATAATATAAGTTATCTTGCTAAATAGTATGACCTGTGCAGTTATGGATTACCAATTTGGACCATTCGTCAACTATAATTTTGTATTTGAATTTGTGGTATCAAAACTGAGAGTCTATTAGTCTTCCAAAAGTCTACACCTTTAATTGCGTCTTTTCATGTGGCTGCAAACAAATAATATTAATTGCTTCATTTGTTTGTTTGTGCAACCCTTTCACTCTCAGTCTCCGCGTGTGATCGCATTTGAATCCCATCTTTATCTATCATCATTTTCATTTACATATCAATGTCACTTTCAACATCTTAAGAAGCTCACTTCAACTACGCAGTGTACAATTCTACTTTAATTAGCTTTCAGAAATTAAAAATAATAATACTAATATTTTTTTAGTATAAACGATGGTTTAAATTATAGGAAAGGTGATTTCTCACACGCACGCACAACTAATTAGATATCAAGGGAGTTCAAATATGCGACTTCTGATCTACAAATCAATGCATTTTTCTACTAGGCTAGACTCGTATATTGACAATAATAATACTAGTTTATTATATCTCAAACATTTTTTACCATTAACAATTATATATCAACAGGGAATGGCGACAGTTACTTTAACAGCATGGCTGCCGCAGCTGCATCCTCCGCCATGCAGCCCACAGCAGCAAACATTAGATCAGTGCACAGGTCCAACCAGAGCTCAACTGGGTACCTTGATTTTGGGTCTAGGATTTCTATCAATAGGCTCAGGAGGGATTAGGCCATGCAGCATCCCATTTGGCGTTGACCAGTTTGACCCAACCACAGAGGACGGCAAAAAAGGAATTAACAGCTTCTTCAATTGGTATTATGCCACGTTCACAGTGGTTTTGTTGATCAGCCAAACTGTGGTGGTTTACATCCAAGACAAAATCAGCTGGAGTGTGGGCTTCGCGATCCCAACTCTGCTCATGGCTTGCTCGATTGTGCTTCTGTTTGTTGGGTCTAGGGTTTATGTGCATGCCAAGCCGCAGGGCAGCATGTTCTCCAGCATTGCACAAGTTCTTGTTGCTGCTCACAAGAAACGGCACATTAAGCTTCCCGAAGAAGCAGGCATTGTAGAT